AGGGCGATATTATATTTTATAGTGCCCTACATTTAGTTGAAAACAAAATCTATGATTAATATAAAAATTTCTGATATTTCAATAATAAAAACAAAAAATAATTAGAAATTATATAATTACATAATGAAATTATCATACATACATTAGTTTAATTATTACTATTTTTATTATTAATATTAATATTATCAAACAATATACGTATTTAATAATAAATGAAAGTGTATGAATGGCATTTAATATTTCTAATACCATTTTTATCGAATGTATAATAAATGAAAAAATTAAGTGATTTTTCATAAGCTACTGAGTTCTATTATTTAAACTAAATTGAATAACTAAATTCACTAAAATAAAAACCAATCACTTATCTATATAAATAGATTAAATTTAAATAATCATAAGTTATCAAATTTTATAAAATATATTAAATCGATTGAGCTACTTTAAATATTACTACAATAAACCCGATAAAACTGTTATTAAATTATTTATTATACAATTTATATTCTTAATTTTATAGACAATCCAAATGTAGAATGTATTTATCGATCATAGGATTATATATAAAGTAAATAATTATATAATACAATTAAAAATTGATATTCATAAAATATTTATTAACCAATTGGCAGATTTAAACATACATTGTTATGTTACTATAATAATTCTCACTTTCTAAAATTAATTTTGTAAACAATCAAAAGATTTTGAAGAACTGTTATTTATAAAAATATTGTGAATACCTTTTATGAATTTAACACTTTTGACTACCTAAATTAATATAAATATGTATATAGAATCTTAAAAATGTTGCATTTACATCGAACGTATATGGATTTAATATTTATATAAAAACAGATCTATTTTTTTTAATTTCAATTTTAATATCTGCACACAAAATAGAATCATGGCCATTAATTCATTTATTAATCTCATTAAATTATTCATATTAATTCTAATTTTATATTATAATTCCAAAATTAAAAATTTATATTTTTTCCCTCTAATAAAATTTTTAAGCATATACTAAAATAATTTGACCATGAAATTTTTTTGAAAATAGTTTGTATTCATATCTTTTTATTTATAAAATTTTATTTTTCGATGTTCTTACATTTTTATTGACAACATATTTTCAATAAAATTAAAATATTAAATCAGCATGTGCAATTAAGTAAAAGATATATTTTCTTTATTCAGTGAACTCTAATATCTAAACTTTATTATTTTTCTTTGTAACTTGAAAAAATATTTAAATATTAATTCATATGATCTTTATTTAATTAGCCTAATTAGATCTTATTGTCTAAATTAAAAATATAAAAATCAGAAAAGTCTGCTTTAACGAGAAACAAGATAACATTGGAACTTATAGAAGCTGAAATAAATATATATTTTAATGATTAATAAAACAAAATTCAATGAAACGACTATTTCAATAAATTTGATAAAATATATTTAGAGTAATATATAAATGCTTGATTGTAAATCATAGCATAATTACAATAGATACATAAATAATTCATTTTTATATACTTTCATTAATTAAACATGTCATTTAATTTTTCAATAAAATTTTAATAAATTGTAAAAATAATAGAGTCAATTAAATTAACATCCAAGTTTTATTTATCTGTCTTCGAGATTACTTTCCCCTTTCCCTTATCGATTTACTATGTATATTTTTCTATCTTTCTATTCCTCTCTCACTCTCTCTCTCTCTCTCTCTCTCTCTCTCTCATTCCCTCTTTCTCCATTACCCCCTTTGACTTCTTAATTCAAGGATATATTTACAGCTTATTCAACGGACCTTTTTTTCCGAATTAAATACTTACTATATAACTGCAATCATATTCAATATAATTATTAATTAATTTTTCATTTTAATAAAAAATACGTATTTATTAATAATTAATATATTATTATATATTAATATATTAAGATATTATTAATAATTAATAGAATCAATCAAAATTATTCTTTTAATAAACTGTTATGGCCTATAATAAAGATGGAAGCTTAGTTTACAAATGCAACCTAATTTATATTATTCTTTGATACATCTTATAATCTGCTTTCGTTAATTTAATTTTGATTAGTTCAATCTTATATTGTCAATAATATTTACCAAATAACCAAATTGTTTAACTAATTTATTGATCAATAATATTTTCATCATTTTAATCAATGAAAAATTGATAACCGTTAGTTGATAATCACATAGTAATCATTTAATACTAGAAATCCTATCTACAAAAGTTATTGTATAAATTATTGTTTATTTTGCAATTTTATAAATTCTAAATTATTTTTTGTATTGATTTTTGGTTTTTAATTTTATAATTTTGATTTTTCATTGTAAAAGAAAAAAATGGATAAGATACTAAAAACGTTATTCAGATCAGTTATCTAATAAAAGTTTTCTTTTATAAGAAAAAACAATAGTTATGCACAATAGTAATACAATAGTAAAAATACTGCATCTGATTAAATATTAATATGTTTTTAAAAGAATATCTATTTATTTAATTTGAGTTCAGTTATGCCTAGATTAACTACAACTTAGGATAATATCATTACTTCGAATTGTGTTCGAGTTTCTGAAAGTAGTAAGTTCGATTTATTACAATTTTTATAAAAAACTGAACACAATTATTTGAGATTACTTAAAAATAAATATAAATTATAAAATGTAATCTGAATAAGCTAATTAAATAAGGTACATTTTTATGATCTTAATTAGAAAAATTGTTATTTTTACTAAGTTCAGATTGACAAACAAAAACTTTATCTAATTTCATTGATTTATTGCAAAAATCTTAAATTTACAATTATATGTTTTACTTAGTATTTTTAATATTTGTCACTATTTAATAATTACTTTTATTTTATATTTTTGCTACTTTTATATATAATTTTAAAAAGTAATTAACATATGTAATACTTAATTTATATAATCTTTTGTATCAGTATATTGTATTTTTCATTTATATTATTTATAATTTATTCACTTTTATTTTTGGAATTACAAGTATATTATGCAGAAATTTATTGTACATAAGTTTACTGGATTATTTTTGAATAGACACTTAAATTTCATTTTCGAAATAAAATTAAGTTATATAATTTATTTAATTTTGTTAATTATTCGAACAAATTGAAATATGATTTGTTATATTCTCATATAGTACATTAAGATGTATATATATATATATATATATATATATATATATATATATATATATATATATGCATATTTTGATTACCTTCTTTAATTTTAATTTTAAAAATAAAAATTAATATTTGTCAAATTATTCTATATTTTCATTTTTATATTTACAATTTTAAATATTTTGAATTAGCCATAAACAAATGTAAATCAAATAAAAATGTATATTTATTATATAATTGGTGTCCATAAATAATCTTTTTAAATTCTTTAATTTAATTTTCACACAATTGATGAAAAAATATTTCACTTTTACAGATCACATATTCATCTCAGTAGACAGGAATGTCGAGTCATATCAATGGACACTTCCGGTGACGTATTTTGCTTAGAGATAAAAATTGATTCCATGAAATACAAAATATATTTCTAGATTTTTTGAAACAATTATAATATATAATAGTTATTTTTTGAATTGAACATGACTATTGCATTGAACATTTAAATTAAATTTAAAAAATATTTTTTTTTAGGTATAAGTGTGATGTGTAATAATTTATTACAAAATATTTTGATAGACGTTCAATTTATGTAAACGATTAATGTATTGCTTATATCGAATAAATATTATTTTTATAATTCCTTTTGGATTGCAAGTATTAAAAATATCACAGGGTTTGTTTAACAATAACAAATACAAGTAATTTGAAACTTAATCAAATTGATATCGAATAGAATAATTAACATTAGAATTGGAATATTTTTATTTTTTTTCATATTGGCTTTATTTTCATATCATAAAAGTTATTTTTATAAAAGATAGTTTCTTTATGTTTAATTATTCTAAAAGAAAATTGTAAACAAATAACAAATATCAATATTGCATGAGAGCATTGGAATTGACTTTTTATTTTCATTAATAATTGAATAGTTTGATCCAATTAATTCGTCGATGAATTTGAATAAAAATGAGAGTTTAAGATTACTAAGAAATCATTACCAAAAGTTTTCGTTCAGTTTAACTAGAACAAATTTTCACCGAGCAAGAAACAACGGTAATAAGGACAGACTCTGAAGTCTAATAAAAATAGGTACATTAGATTGTATGGGCGAAGTAAAAGTATCATGCATTACGGTAGTGCAACAAAAATAAAAAACAGCTCACGATGATCCTACTTGCAGGCATTAATGTGTGCTAGAAAAACAGGGTGCAATCACTTTATCATTCAACCCTGTATTTTAACAAAGATTTGAAGTTCATAGTCAATTTTCTTCTTTTCTTTACTTAAATTCGCAAACCTCATATGAACTTTAGTGCTGGGCTCATTCAACCAAAGGATTATGTGAGACATTCCGCTTTTTCACTTTCGCTTTCTTTTCTAATTGATCATTCATTTTTAAAATTCAATATCTTTATTTGACACTTTTTCTACGTACTTTTGTTTCGTACTTTTATTTTTACTTTTTTACTACATTTTTTTCTCTCTTATTCATCAACTTTAAAGCATTTCTTTTCATTTACACTTTGCAGACTATATTAGCATTATCTGTAATATATATTGAATTATTTATTATTATCATTAATATATATAATTATTGCCGTATTATTGTTTTTGTATATTTTTTTATACATTATTAAAAAATAGTTTGTTTACTGTTTTGAAAAGTTATTATCCAATCGAAGCTATCGTAAGTCGTAAAACTGAACAAGTTAAACGTATTTCTTTCAATTTTAATTTTAAAAAAGTATATACTTTTGACATAATTTTTTTAATTGTCAAGTTTTTTCTGAGACTTCATTATTGTTTTTTTTTTCTTAAAAAGTTTGAATTTTAATTTTTTTCTTGTTTTCTTATTTAATTTATTCGTAGTTACTTCTGCTCTTATTAAAGTTGGTTATTAATGCCTTGATACTGTATTTTTGATTTATTATGAATAAAATTGTTTCGATGACTGTAACAAGAGAGCTATATATATTTATGTATACTGTTGTTCTGCATCTTTAGTTACACACATAGGTAGATTGTAGGTATACATTATATATTTGAATATAGGTATATATTCATACTCACAATAGGTAGAAGAATAAAACAGAAAAAAAGCAGAAAATCGAAGTAATAAAAAATGATTGTTCTGAAGATGTAAAAACATGTGCCTGGCATCTTTTGGTCCCTCTCGTCCCGTGACGCGCGTTACGGAAATTCTCACGTGGGGGAGATTCAGTCAGTGCTGTTGGGCTCCGCTCTTCAAGCGTAAACACATAAAATGCAGGACAGACGATTTCTCGGGGCGAACAGTCCCTCTCCCTTCCAGCCATCGATGAACGAAGAAGAAAAAACAAGGATAACAAGGCGCGCGCGGATACAGAGTCACAGCCACGTAGATTTTCCCTTGGGTTGGTGGAGGCGTTGGAAAAGAGTCGCGTCGGAGAGCGGAGGGGCGGCCACGACCGAAGGTGGGAGATTATGCGTGACCAAGGAGAGGGAGCACACACACATAGCAATGCAGCTACGGGGGCGGTGGCTGGCGTTCATCCGCCATCTACGTTTCCTCTCTCCTTCTTAAACACTTCGACACCCGCGCTGTCTGTCACTGTCTTACTTGTTTTATCGTTTGCACGCGCGCGCCTTGGGGTGGACGCTCACCGCGCCGCCCCTCCGCGCATCGCCCGCTGCTGGCTGATGCCGATATTTTGTTCGCACGGCAACTTTCTGGCTCAGTCGTTCGAGTCGACGGAGAGACGAGTTTTTACAGCGTATCGCAATTCTGCCTTATTGTACCCCCGAGAAAGTCCTGCCATGCCCTAACGCACAGGAAGCAGACATCAGACGAGTGTGTGTGTTTCTTTTTTCCGCTGTCTTAATTTTGTCGCATTTTTTGTCTTCATTGTATCATCATTCCCTTTTCTTTTTTTCCTATATTATTTGTATTAATTTGTCTTTACTCTCACGTTACTATCCATTGTCTATCTTGAGTTTAATTTTCTCTCTCTTTCTCTCTCTCTTTATCTATCTATCTATCTATCTATCTATATTATATATATATATATATATATATATATATATATATATATAGAGAGAGAGAGAGAGAGAGAGAGAGAGAGAGTCTGCATATACATATGTCATTATTTCTGTTTTCTTCGTGTACATGATGCGTGCAAAAGCTTGTGGAACAAGAAAGCATAGTCCAAATATTGCAGTAGGATCTGATCTGCGCAACAGAGAAACTTAAATTACAAACTAAGGATACTATGTTTGATCCATGCGATGAAGCATGGCAGTGCACTAGGAAGACGTGTGTTTTCACTCTGTTAATCTAAATTTTTTTTATATATATAGATAACGATTGACTTTCAACCTCTACGTTTTCAACAATCTAATAATAGTTACATTTAACAAGTTGTCGATGATTATAAAGTTGCAAAATATTCAAAACTGTTATTGTGTGTTCAAATTTAATCAGTGATAGAAACAATTGCATTTGAGAATTAAAAAATTCTGTATATACGAATAAAAAATTTAAGTGCCAAGCGATTGAAGAGCCACCAGATAGAAAAAGCTGCAATTAGTACGGATTTATTGTTATATTAGAATAAGAGTGCTCTTTGTTTTTTGCGCTTTCTATTTCGTTCGCGAGTATTTGTTACTCTAAGCCTTTCTCGTCGTCTTTATCCATCATTACAACGTGAAGTCGTATATTCATCTCAATATAACCCTTCGGTTTTTGGCATACTTAACCCATCAAAAAGAAGCAGAAATCGGTAAAATACGGGCTTATCACATCCAAAATATAGGTTATCTTGTGATTGGAGAGTCGATCGTAATCAACACCAGTGGGAGGGAACGTCGAAGCTGAATAAAAAAAAACAAGGACACCTGCCTACCAATTCTAATTGTGAGGTGCAGTAACGATAATGATAGACTAGAGCCGTAGCTGAATATTAGCATTGCTCAAAAGAATAAGGAGCTCAAAATTAAGATTTAGATGTCCAGCACAAAACTCGGAATCATGAAAGCGGTTGCCGCAGTCGTCATTACAACAGCGAATGGAGAGACTGCCCTGGGAGGAGTCCACAGCTATCAAGAGCGCCATCGCCTTTTGTCTTGAAGTTAAACGCAGCCCTGTTTTTCGTTTTTTGCCATCCTTGTCCTCACCTGTATACATCCTACCCTCAACTTCATTCGTGTCTTGCTCTACGATCTTATAACTGAATGTTATTGATCTTTTAAAAGAGTGAGAGGTACACGCGTAATTGGTGCTATTTGGTGACGTGATCTTCCCACCCCAGGAGGTGCCAATAAAACTAACTTCTGATCAACAGAGAGAGTTATAGGAGATAAGACGATAGACTCTGTTGAGCTTAAAGCAGTCGTATGAGTGCACGTGAATATGAGCATGACTCTCGTACGAAACTCGTTTAAAGGTTTGTTTTTCTTTTTCTATTTTTGACTTTATTATAATTTTATTTTGTTATTTGGCACACAGTATAGTTGCGCCAAACAAAGATGTATTGTATTGCATGCAAGTCGAAGTATGCGATTGCCATTTAGTAAGGTTAGGTTTCCTTATTTACTATGGCTCAAAAAATTTTTTAAATATATTTTGTATACGTGGAACGTATAAATTACAATTTTCATTACTGTTTTTTTTATCTCGCATTATTAGAATCGTGTTTAAAACATTATATAAAAATTGTAGAAATTACACTAAAAAAAAAATTCGCAGCTAACTATATTGTAAAATTTAAATTGTAAATCAACAAATACAGTTTTTAATTTTTTTGTAATGTATAAGTTTATTTATCTTTGATTAATATTTTAAAAATTATACTAAATTATTTGGTTCTCAAAATCGTGCCATTAAATTTTAATTAGTAACTCGGAAATATGAATCACCAATTGCATAATAGTTACCTTAATGTCATTTAAATGAAATATTATCGACATTAAAATTATTATAAAAAAATTAAAGCGCATAAAATGCATATTCACTAAATAACCGCTATTATTCCATATTATTATAATTTTTTTTTATTATTATCTAGCACAAATAAATGATTATTCAATATTTTCACTTTAGACTCAGAATTTACAAACTTTAGATCATGAACATAAATCGTACTTTTATTATATTCTTGTATTTTTACCATTTATAAAGATAGTGCTAACAAAAGAATAAACGTAATTTTCCTTTTATTATTTGAAAATATTGAATGTATATCAACGAATGTTACATGGCTCTTGAATTATCGTGTTTGTATCAATTTACGTAACCTGTAAATGTTGAAATACGCATTATGAATGTAGTTGTTACTTTGGATTACGGATAATTTTTATAAGTCGATTAAAATATTTTAGTTATATATAATTTAGTTATATATAATTAGTTGTACATAATATGAATATATTTTATTGTTATATTTAATGTTACGATTCTTAAATTAATATTGTATATAATTAATTACTTTTATTTTTTAACAAGATTATACCTTAAGAAAGTAAAAGACATTGGTAATGTATTATTTAATAATTTCTATATTATTAATTTTTTTATAGAAAAAGGATCAAGATCACTAATAGTAGTTAAATTTATTATAAACTAGAAAATGAAAACTTTTCGATAATGTAATGAAATTAAGAAATATTTAAAATTATTTGGAAATATAGAAAAACAATGTACAAGTATCTATCAATATTTTTAAATTGAAACATATTTTAATCTATAAATATACCATATTGAATATTGAATAATTATTATGTTCCCTAAATTATACAAACAATAATAGTCGTCAATTATTTAAAATAAAAGCACATTGAATGTGTACAAATAATAAAGACCAATTTACATTATTTTTACCGAAAAGTTTGTTATTAGTAACAGTAAATAATCTCATATACTTATGTAAAATGCTCAAGTGCAACAAGTTTCCGAGTAATTTTAAAACTCATAATTCAAAATAAATTATATTATAACAGCATTATAACATATATAATGACTAAAAAGATTTGCAATGTAAACCAAGCTCAATAAGTAGATAGTTTTTTCTTGTAAATTGTAACTTTCTTGTAAAATTGTACAGAATCTAATTTTAAAAAATTGTACCATAAATATTTATAGTTACAAAAACTTCACGATAGAAATATGATACGCCGGTATGAAAATGAAATTTATTTCGAAGAATAATTAATTGACGGCGAACGCTTGGTATTAAAGGTGCTCAGATTCATTGCTTTGAAAGCTATCATACTGCAAACAGCCATAATAAACATACGTTTGATGCGCATGCACGGGACTTATAAGATGCAGTTATTTAAATCTTAACTAAGCCACATACAACAGGAGCAGCACCAGTATCGGTCGTCAGCTAATTACAATTTACAAAATGAAACGTTTGCTCGGGTAAAGACGCTTATTTACGCATGCGTGTAGTAGCCATATTTTATTCATGTATTTGTGTATTGCCCACCCAGCTTAGTTAAATCCAGACATCGACTTTACAAAGATCGATCGAAAATACTGACTATTCCTTGTGAATGAAGAAGTTTTGAAGCTACAGTTGGTAACAACTCTATTATTATTTTAATGTTTGCTATAAAATTAAATAGAATAAAATTAATATATATTTATATTTCTAATCAATTGATAGTGTAACGGTTCTTATTTTTGTAAGGTTTAATCAGTTTTTTTTAATCCACATTTAAGTTATATTTAGTTGATTAAAAGAACATTATCGAATAATCACATTGCATAAATAAAAAATGATATTTAACGAATTTTACAAAATTTAGGGAACATACAAACAATAATGTGAATTTGATTTTCTTCATTTCGACGAATAGTATTGCAAGTCGTAACATAACAATTTTTCTTTAAATTTCTCAATTTAAAAGATTCAAAATGTAAAATAAGAAATATATTTATTATATGCATATTTATTTATAAAAAAAAATTAAAAATGTGTAACCATATTGTATAAAAACCTTTAGTATTGCTAAATTACAAATTACATTGCAATTTCTAATAGGTTTTTAAATTTAGGAGAAATATTAATATTATTTTTTTAAAACCAATATTCATTATTTCAAAACTTCACTAAGTAAATGAAGTTTTAATATTAAAAATAATAAAGTATGTATAATACCTCAAGTGTATAATAAAGACAATTTTGTTAACAAATCCGTTTAAAAGAACACATTTAAATTTTTATATACATTGTATTTTATAGATCATTTTATTAACTTCTTAATATAGTTATAAATTATATTTAGTTTTTGTTATTATAAAAGTAATGTTTAAATAATGAAATTAATGAAAGTTTATGAATAAAACAAGAATAAAAACTATAAAATTGTTGATTAAACCTATAATTTGACAGATGCATTATTTTATGAGAAAACATATAAATAGTATCGATAATGCACTGGATAGTTGGGTATGCAATAAGTTATGTTTAAATTTGCAGCTGTAATAAATAATTTAATAAATTAAATTTATTGCATTGATTCGTACACGCTTATTAACTTGATATTACATATCAAATTCAAGTTAATAAATTCGATAATTCCATGCAATTACTGTAAATCTGAATAGTTTATACGAAAGCCGCATACAAGTATTAATACATCTATAATGTTTAGACATGATATATATATATATATATATATATATATATGAAACTTCTAGAAGAGCATATGTACTTATTAACTTTCATTCAATTATATGTATTTAAAACGGCGAGCTATTTAAATACTATATGTAAATGAAATCGTGATATTTTCATAATATTTAAACTAAATTTCTATTCATAATAAATATTGATTTAAATGTTAAATCTTAATATCCGAGACAACGGAAATATTGTTTTTTTTTACTTGGTGGTTAATGTAATTAATTTATTGCATTTTGAAATACGAGTTTTTCATAAATTAGCACGTAAAATGGATGATTATTTGGAAAAATGGTGTTGAAGAAATCTACGTATTAGATGTATTTTACATAGAATATAAATTTCATGTTTTGTATTTAGAACTTTTTAAACGAAGATGAATGATTTCTGATTAAGTAATTAGTACTTACACATTGTACACATTGACTTGTGTTATAATCCAAAATAAAGTATAAAATTAAATTTTCTTTAATAAAATAAAAATATTTGTTGTGCTGCTATATAATATTTATTAGAGTTTTTGTAAGCAATTAAATATTGTAATTGACTAAGATATATATTAATAATTTTGTATAATTTCATTTGTTTCTCAAGATCTGAAAAATGCATTCTAAGAGGAGAAACCAGAGTTGAATTCGAGACTTATTACTCCGAATGTATTGGTTTAAATTATATTATTCTAATCAGCTATCATAAGGGTGAATAGATCGCGTTTTATGTGTATAGAAAGTTGGAATGACCTCTGCCAGTGGAAACCAATTCAGATATTGTTTTATACTTTTGCGAGTTTTGAAATATTTAAGCATCTCGCTCAACCGTAATCACTTAATGAGCATATTTTTAGACAGAAAGGATGTTAATTAAATATTTTAAACTTATTTATTAAAAGTATAAATAGTTAACAGTATATATAACTATAAGAAGTATGTAATTTAATATAAAATAAAGTGGTAATATAATACACTTTAAAAACATACTTGCATATTAATTTGTATTTTTTAACTAGATATACAAAGAGCTATTTGAATATAAAATATTGTTTATTAAACACGGGGATGAAAGATAATCAAGCTAGAGATGTGATCTATCTCTCTCTCTCTCTCTCTCTATATATATATATATATATATAGGAAGACAGATTTTTGGACTCGTAAGGTTAACTAAATCTGCTTCATGTATTGTAATAGAGTGTATATATAGAAGATTTAGTCTTACATTCTATCACATTTTTAATCTCTTATAGGTTACACGTCTAATTCATCATAAGCAGTCGTAACTATTAAGTGTGTTTGCATATAAAATTTTTTTTAAAATAATTTTTTTTTAAACTTAACTATTAATTAAATTTATATTTAAGGAGGCGAATAAATATCTGTACTCACATCATTTTTCAATTTTAGCTTATAAATATTTCAATTTAGAATATTTAAAATATTATAAAATAATATTGTGTATATTTTTACTTACTATATTGTCCTAATGAATGACTTGCCTTTATATACTTGAAGTATTGCTCTAATATTTTACTGTTATTCTTACATATTTTAATAAAAAACTGATGGCGTTAAACCGAAATCTGAGATTTAAAATGTCATATTTTATATTATTTTGCATATTTTTTCACAAAATTCAATTTTAAGATTTTTTTATTTAAAAAATCTTTTAAAATTAATTAATTAATTTAATTTCACTGTTCAGGCAGTATATTGGTTATTAATTGATTGAATGCAGATGATAACTCAAATTATAAAACTACT